TTAGTCACTAAAAGTGCTACCATAAAATGAGAAGGACTATTATAGACCAAACATTTTGGTCACCAATAGAATACATATTTTTAGCGACTAAGTAATTTTTGTCGTTGTAACTTTTGCCCACTAAAAGTTTCATAGCGAAAAGCCTCTTAACATTCACTTCTTCACTTTTTGCCACCAAATGTTTTAGTCGCCAAATGATACCATTTTTTTTCCTGACTAAAAATTAGTGGCCAAATAGTTTCTTTCTCTCATTCTCAATTGTTTTAACGCCACTAATTATTTGGTTCGCAAAAACTTGTTGTGGTTCATGTTTTTTTACTAAATCAAATTAGTCACCAAAACATTTGATGTACGTTATTTGGCTTACCAAGATATTTAGTGGCAAATACTTAACGTGTTTTTTTTTTTTTAAAAACAAAAAATTTCTAACAACCTGTTATTCATTATTAATTTACACCGTGTAACCCTGTATAAACAATCTAAACCGGATCAACACTAAATATGTTATCAAGCATTCAACACGTGGACACATTTCAGTTTCCAAACCATCCAAATAATTATTAATTGAAGCGTCCAATTTATATATATATTATATAATTAATACATTCATAAGAACCAAGAGTTCTGAAGTCCCAAACGTCCAAATTGAATTTAATTCCATACATAAATAACAGGAATAACGCAAATTAATTGTACAACCTAGAATTTTGCTACCACAAAAAAATTATCATCTGTACTGTCCACAAAACTTATTTTGTACCGACGTGCATGTAAATTTTCTTACCATGTGCCACTTAGCTGATATTTACCACACCAAAAAAGTAATTTGTTAACAAAAAACATATATTACGGATACCAGATATAAAAGACAATGCCCCCAGTAAATTCGTCAGAAAAAAACATATCCACATTTGTTGTCCAAAAAACATTTGCCAAAAAAAACAAAAAATCATTAGTTTGGTGCGTGTAAGAGCGACTTCTGGGCCACATATATATAGTATATATTATATATATATGTGTAATAATTTCAACATTTAAACGACAAGGAGAGTAATAGCTATTAACTAATGAAGACACTCCGAAACATGGACCCATCATAGTTTCTTGTTTTAGCGTTTTTTAATCTCTAAAGTCTATCTAGGTAAATTTTAAGTAGTTAAATGTGAAAGATAAACTGTGTGTAGGTAGTTACCGCAAATTACAGAAAATTACAGGTGTACTTACATTTCATCCAAAAATTATTTGTTATAAAAAGTAAGAGCACCCATCATAGAGTTTTTTCTGGTATCCATAAAACTCTGAATACTAGCCCTACAATAAAGAAACCTTGAATTAAGCAATTTGTAAAGGCAAGGAGATTGTGTTGGCTATCATGAATGATGGTGTGTTTCAACTAATGCTTATGGCTTTTTGTGACCTCCATGAAGCTTCCCTTACGGTTAAAAGTGCTTTTGTGACCTCCATGATGGAAATTTGGGTGTGTACTTTTTCTTCATAAAAGATTCTAATTTATTCGATATAATCATAGAAAGTTTGGAAACGCTTTCCTTAAAGAAGAAACTAAGTCAACAATGTAATGAAATCATAATACTGTTCATTTCTATTTAACTAATTAGTGGGTTTATAGATGTTACATATACTTCTATTTGTGAATGAGTAATGCCTTGGGTTCTTTACAGGCTTATGGGGACAAGAGCTGAAAAAGATTATGCTTAACTATTCTTCCATAACACCATCTAATTTTGATAGGTATCTTCAATACTTAGCTTCTTTAGTCCTAAGTTCCCTGATCTGTTGCTGAGGAATTATCCTCCCATTAGCCAAATCTTGAGGCCATATTATATGAACTGTCTACTATTCAACTGTTGTTGCATATTTGTAGTGGTTGTAGTTAAACTGATCAAATACACAATTACGCCTAAACCTTAGCTGAAATTTACAAATCCATTATTCGAATTTCCAACCGATTAGGTCAACATGATATATCCTTCGTCACATTTAGTTCTTGCAAAATGGTGCCCCCTGAACCCCTTTTTTCAACTAAGTTTATGACATTTTCAACTCTAACTCCCAATGTACTTGTCTGACTTACGTACCGTCAGTCCCTACATGTCACATTTATCACCGAGAAGCTTCCCGTTACAAAAAAACAGTGGCTCGGGGTCTGTTTTGCAGTTTCGGCCCCCGAACCCCTTTTTTCGACTAAGTTTATGACATTTTCAACACTAACTCCCAATGTACGTGTCCTACTTACGTATCGTCTGTCCCTACATGACACATTTGTCACCAGGAAGCTTCCCGTTACGAAAAAACAGTGGTTCAGGGGTTGTTTTGCATTTCCCTCCCTCCGAACCCCTTTTTTTGACTAAGTTTATGACATTTTCAACTCTAACTCCCAGCGTAGGTGTCCTATTTAAGTACCGTCTGTCCCTACATGACACATTTGTCATCGGGAAGCTTCCCGTTACGAAAAAATAGTGGTTCGGGGGCTGTTTTGCATTTTCGCCCCCCGAACCCCTTTTTTCGACTATGTTTATGACATTTTCAACTCTAACTCCCAACGTAGGTGTCCTATTTACGTACTGTCTGTCCCTACATGTCACATTTATCACCGGAAAGCTTTCCGTTAGGGGGTTGTTTTCCATTTTCGCCCCTGAACCCCTTTTTTTGACTAAGTTTATGACATTTTCAACCCTAACTCCCAACGTACGTGTCCTACTTACGTACCGTCTGTCCCTACATGACACATTTGTCATTGGGAAGCTTCCCGTTTTGTAAAAATAGTGGTTTGGAGGCTGTTTTGCATTTTTGCCCCCCGAACCCCTTTTTCCGACTAAATTTATGACATTTTCAACTCACACTCCCAACGTATGTGTCCTATTTATGTACCGTCTACCCCTACATGACACATTTTTCAACGGGAAGCTTACCATTACGTTAAAATAGTGGTTCGAGTTATTATTCAAAATACCACTATTGAAAACAACATGCTACTTTAAATCTTAATCAAGTAAATATGTTAAATACAAGTTCATTGTTAAGAAAACTCAATACCAAACTCTAGTAACTACACAAGAAATCAATTGCACAAATAACATTTTTGAAAAGAGATTTGAGTTTTTATTAATTTATAATAAAAACTCATAAATAAGCTTTAAACTTCTAGGTAGAAGACAGTTTAATGAAACTTTAAACTTGGTTAGTAGAGTGTTCAATGAATTGTCAAGGCATCTTAAATGTCTCCTAATTGTCACTTAGCAGTGCTCTTCCTTTACAACTTCTCATTTGAAGTATTCTTTTTGCTAGGTAAGAGTTCAGTGAATGAGGGTCTTGGGTGGTAATGATAAAATGTAAATTAAAGTTGAAAATGCAAAGGTTTTTGTTGATGGTTGGTGGGTATAAACAAAGGTTTCAGTGAATGACGGTCTCAGCTTGTAATCTAGGAATGAGTATAAAGAATCAGCTCAGAAACTTATAAACAAAAGTTAAAGCGAACATATTTAAACAACTCCCATTGAATTTGTTAGGCAGATTAACTCCCAAATTGATGACATTTTCAACTCTTAAAGCGAACATATTTAAACAAGGTAAGTGTGACATTAATGAAATTGTTCTTACCAAAAAGCAAACGTCGGATGCCCAACTTAGATTCCCAAGAGTTGTGACAGTTTGGTTACTACGTTATTAAGATGCTCGACCTTTGTATTTGTCTCCTCCCTTGCCTTTTGTCCCTCCTCCCGCTCTTTCAACATCTCATTGGCTAATTGAATGCTCTCCTCTCGCTCTTTCAACAGCTCATTGTAACATCTCTCACTCTCCTCTCGCTCTTTCATTAACTCGTCATGATCTTTTTGTCGCTTCTCACGAAGTGCCTCCACCTCAGCTCACATTGCCTCCATGTCCTTATCGTGTGCTCGTGATGCAGCTATGGTAGAGGGTTGTAGGCCACTCCCAAATCCAAGCAAGTACCTTTTCTTCTGTCCAAGCACTTGCCTTGAAAGCTCCTCATGTGTCAATGGCGTCCCCGACTCGATGGCAACCGCTTGTACATTGACCATCTCTTGCTATCATTGCAAATAAATAAGACGAAAAAAGCTAACTAACATATATGTATTATTTGGTACTAAGTATAGTCATATTGAATACATATATTTCAATGGCGTCCCCGACTCGATGGCAGCCGCTTGTACATTGACCATCTCTTGCTATCATTGCAAGTAAATAAGACAAAAAAAGCTAACTAACATATATGTATTATTGGGTACTAAGTACAGTCATATTGAATACATATATTTCCTTGTCACATACTTACATGCAGCTCACGGCATTTCGGATGGATCCAGTCATTCGTTTTCTTTGAAGTGTGGCTGTCCTCATAGAGCTTAGGAAAATCCAACTTTCCATTTTTTGCTACCTGTTAACATATCAACGTATAAATCAATAACACTTTAAGCAGATTTTTACAGACAGATTTGTTGTAGACAGATTTGTATGATTACAGAGTTTTTGTAGACAGATTTGTAGTTTAGACAGATTCTTTGCAAACAGATTTGTATAGACAAATTTTCATTAACAGATTTTTAAACAAATTTCTGGACAGATTTGGAGACAAATTTTTAGACAAATTTGCAGCCAGATTTTCAGACAGATTTGCAACCAGATTTGGAAAGAGAGGCAGCAGTATTCTAGTTTACACAATTTTCACAAGTGGCAATGGACGCAGATCCCCTTAACGTAACTGCAATGGCATGCCCTGCTTTTCCACTTTGCCCTCTGGCAATAACTGAAGTTGAGCGTGGAATACCTGACATCCTAAAGTGGGTTCATGCTGTATTTGAGAAGGTATATTAATGAAGCTACAAGTATTAACAAATCCAGCAAAGTAGCTGGAAATGGTTTTCGATTAAGGTCATATTGTTAGGTTGGGTAATGATGCTTGTTACCCAGATGGACTTTTATGATTTCAAGTTGGTCTTGAATATAATGAATCAATAGTGATAATGATAACTGGTTGTCCTAATGGTTGTGCTACACCCTACATGGCTGAACTTGGATTAGTTGGTGATGGTCCTAATTGTTATCAGGTATTTAACGTTTTGATGTACCTGAATTTCACTTTTTATTGGGTCTCAGAACCCCTCAGGTATTTAAAATTCTAATTTATCGTCCTTTTAGGCAAACTGCATAAGAGATTGTTGGATTTGTCTCTATTGTCTTCACACCATTACAAATCTTGATGTAGGATTATAGACAATTTAGGCTAGGGGTTAATGTAGAATACAATTATTTGTATCAGGGATTTGAGAAACTCCAGGAATTGGTTGACAAATGGGAAGGTCCAGTGGAGTCATCTTCTCGATTCAACCTGAAACTATTTGCTGATAGGGAGACATACGAGGCTGTGGATGAACTAGCAAGGGTTCAAAACAAGAATGCTCATCAATTAGCTATGGAAGTCATTCGCAATTTTGTTGCTTCCCAACAAAATGGCAAGAGTGAATAAACCATGAGAAAAGTCTATCGCCAATTTTGCTATTGACTTGCAAAATGGTGAATGTGAGAGATTTTTTTCAGACAGTTTTTTTCCAGACAGTAGATGTTCAAAACAGAGTTTGCAGACAGAGTTTGTAGACAGATTTTTAGACAGAGTTTGGATACTTTTTTTTTGAAGACAGATTTGTATAGTTATTATGTGTACTTATTTTTTTCAGGCAGATTTGTAGACAGAGTTTTTGCAGACAACAACAACCTGTGGTGTTGAAAACATACTTATTTTGGCCTTTATTTTTTTATTTTTATTTTTTTGGTATATGAGCTCTGTTATGTGTTTCATTTACAATTTCAATACAACTACTTACCTAGAGAGTAGAAAAAAAATGCGAGAAATGGAAACATAGCTCTTCTTCTTTTGCTTTATAGTTTAGTAACAGTACTAATATAGCCATAATTGCCCCAAAAAATCACAACATATCATTTTCATATCCAAACAACATATAATGGATTTAATTTTAAATAAAATCAATCTCACCATAGCATCCATTGCGATAGGAAATGAGCGAGAGCCATTGGTATGATTGTACGGCAATTGAATTCTATTACTCTTGCGAGCTTTTGACCGTTTCTAAAAATAAGACAAGCAAATAAACAATTTTTTGGTAAATATTAAGGCATATCACATTTTCGCATAGATGTATGTACTCTATCTAGTCTATTATTTTACCTGGTGAGATGCATCTTGCCATACCACATCGATCAAATGCTTCTAATCATCTAAACTCACCCCTAGGGGCGGATGAGCATAGATCTCATCACGTGGAAGTCCCTCTAACAATTCGAATTCTTGCTTCAAGGTGTACCTCCAATCTTTGTACAACCCATAGGCCTTCTTATTCACAATCTGTTGTGCTTATAAGTCATTGTGGAAATCGTTTCCAATTTGAAACTTGTCCTACAAGCATAACAAATGGAAATTGTAATAATTAAATAAAAGTCTTTCTTATAAGCATACATAATACAATTACATCTTGTGGACAAGTAATATCAGTTACAAGAACAGCTTGGATGACGGCAGATTTTGCAGTCTCATCCAGATCCAACCATGACTTGACATCTTTCACAGGGCACAAGGTCCTAATTTGAATTCCTAACTCGTTAGTTGCTGGAGTGGCATACTTGCCAGTCATTGCATTCAACTCACGATTTGTTTATCTCAAGCTCAAGCTTACAAAGTATGAGTACGATTTGTTCATCCAATTTCTGCAAATCTGAACGCCTCAATGTCTTTGAACATAATTGTTTGAAGAAATTTCCCAACTCAAACAGTGTCTTTCCGATTTCCATATTAAGGTAGCCACGCATCCCAATTGGAAGAAGTCGTTGTATAAGGACATGACTATCATGACTTTTGAGGCCAGATAATTTTCCAGCTTGAGCGGTCACGCAATTGGAGATATTTGCTGCATAGCCATTAGGGTACTTCATTGATTTCAAGAAATCACAAAAGCCTTCTTTCTCTTTCACAGACAATGTGTACAATGCGGTAGGCTTCTCAAAGGACCCATTAGAACGCCTCTTCAAATGTAACTCTTTACGTAGTTTCATGTCCTCCAAATCTAAGCGTGCTTTGTCTGTGTCCTTATTCTTTCCATCTATGCTCAAAAGTGTCCCAACGACATTGTCACATATATTCTTTTCAATATGCATGACATCAAGGTTGTGTCGAAGCTTCAACGTTTTCCAATAGGGAAAGTCAAACATAATGCTTCTCTTGCTCCAATTCAAATTTTGATGTTCATTCCTTTGTCATTTTCGATTTTGTGGGTGCTTTCCATACGGCTTGTAAGTCATAGAATCAATTTGCTCTAGTATTTGGTCCCCCGATAAGTCCAAAGGTTTGGACCTATGCTCCGTTTGACCATTGAAGAGCTTACTTGTTCGCCAAGTGTGGTTCTCAGGCAAGTGGCGACGAGCACCCATATACCCTATTTTACTTTGTAATCCCTGGGACGATGCATTATTGTTACAATTAGGGCAAGCCAAGTAACCCTTTGTACTCCACCCTAACATGTTACCGTACGTAGGGAAGTCATTTATGGTCCACATTATCGCCGCATGCATTCTAAAAATTTGCCCGTTCGATGCATCATATGTTTGCACACCATGCTCCCACAAATTCTTCAATTCTTCTATTAATGGTTGCAAGTAAACATCAATGTCTCTTCCAGATGTCGAACGTCCAGGAATAAGCAATGACATTATGCAGTATGGCTCTTTCATACACTTCCACGGTGGGAGATTGTAAGGCATTAAGATTACGGGCCACATGCTATATGATGTGCTCATATTCCCAAATGGATTGAAACCATCTGTTGCCAACCCTAGCCTTACATTTTGAGAGTCATCAAAAAACGTCAGATGTTGCTTATCAAAGTCCTTCCATGCTTCACCATCGGCCGGGTGCCTTAATATGTCATCATCCACACGCTTCTCATTGTGCCATCTCATATCTGCGGCTGTTTTTTTGGACATATACAGTCTTTTCAACCTCGGTGTCAAAGGAAAGTACCGCAATACCTTGTGTGGAATCTTTTTACCACCATCATCGTTCAACTTGTATCTACACGCGTCACATGTAGGGCATTTCTCCAAATAAGCACTCTCCTTCCAAAATAGTACACAATCATTCTTGCACGAATGAATTGTTTCATATCCCAAACCCAAGTCACATAAGAACTTCTTAGCATCATAGAGTGTCCATGGAACTGTTGGATCACATTCTGGTAGAATGTCCTTGAATACCTGCATAACCATATCGAATGACTTGTTGCTCCATTTGTTGTACACCTTCACATGAAGCATCTTAATGACGAATGATAACACAGAAAACTTTTCACATGTCGGGTGAACTTTGCGTTGTGCATCTTCGAATAACCTAGTGAACTTATGCAAATCCTCCCTCTCCAAACCATTAGGTTCCTCGCCGGTATGATCATTCATAAGACCACTCATGTAAATTTCTTCCAACATAATAGGGAATTCATCCATGAGCGGATCATCACTATCTGTCATACATTCGCCACTACCTCCACAGTGGTCATTTGATACACTAGGACGAGACACGGGAACATGTTCCCCATGATGCACCCAAGTTAAATACGAAGATGCCATTCCTCTTCGGATCAAGTGCATCCACACAACTTGTCTGCTATATTTTGTGCCATTAATGCAATCAACACACGGACACCTAATTTCATCATCTACGCCTACATTTACAGTAGCAAAATCAAGGAATGACTTCACCCCTTGTTGATACTCTTTACTTGTCAACCGATTATTTATCGTCATCCAACTCTTGTCCATTTTGTCACCTACAACTCACACAAACATTAACCAAGGAAGCCATGAGAACACGCATTTCAAGTTGAGATAGATTAGGTTGTTTTTCATTCACTGTTTGGCTTGTCACATAAATCTCTTTTAGGGTGGAACTTTATGACACGATTAGTTCTAAAACAAGTTAATTTAAGAAATAACCCGTAATTTTGGACCACTACATAGCATAACTAGTAGAGCACTAGTACTAGTGAAACTATATGGTCAATGATAGAATGATATATCAAAATAATGAAAACCATGTCATGCTCTTCACACAATGAAACAGGTTAAGAGTTAAGCATGACTTTTATACCACTTAAACTCAGATTTGTTTTCTTAACAAGAGAAGAATGTCAAAGCCATAGGCTTTTTGACGCTCACAAATCAGAATAGCGAGGGAGGGCCAATTGGAGAAGATGATGGACGAAGGAGGCTGCAATGGTTGACGACAAGGCTATAAAGGTGACGGAGCATTTTACAAATAGCATACTTACCGTGGGAAGTTAAAACTCCAAAATCCTATACATGCAAGTTTAAGTACTACTAGTCCTGCACTAACAGTGGCCACAAACATATATTATAATATGTGACCTAAAGCAGCTAAAAATTAATATCCATTAAAAAAAAAAAAATTTAGAAACATCAATTTTTATCATTCACTTTTTTTTTTCCCATACCATTTTCTTGACTTAATCTTGAATTCACATGTAACTATGCTAATCTTTTTCACTCATCAATGTTCCTTTCAGGCCATCCATGGATCTTGCTCTACACTGACCGCACATTAAGGACGCTATCTATAAAGTCGAAATGAAAGAGCCGGTCACCACCACCACCACCTTCCCAGCTACCAGCCATAACTAGACTGGAGGAGCAGAATGACCGTAGGACAGCCTATGATTCTTTTGGTGAGACTACCGATCCAACATCGTTGCCTGGAAGTTTGAGTCTCAAGACTGAAGAGCAAGACGACTCTGGTGCCAGGACGACATCTTGTACTTATGGAAGGACTGAAAAGCAACCTTCCCTCCATATTGTTCTCTTACTTTTATTGCCCTTAAATATTTTTCTTTCTGCTGCAGTTTTGAACACTAGAAGTTGGAATGAATATGGACCTTTTTATCTTTTTGTTTCTTTACTTATTAGATCTTTGCAATTTATTTATTTATTTTTGAGTGGTTTCTTCCAATTAGGAAAATTTCTTATCATTTGTTGGAGCCTGTAATTGGAAATTTGATATAATTTGACATGATTCGGTGGATACTAAGCTACCAATAGAAACTTGTTATAAAAAAGCTTTGTAAATGGTCTAAGGGTTTTATGTTTTAATTATGGCTAGTTTGTGTAATGCCTGGTGCTTGGTATTGATAATGGTGGATATTCTTCACAGGTGCTTCTCCTTCTTACCAATTGAAGCAAGAATAGCAAGATCATGAGACGAAGTACATAATGGTCCTATATGTGTATTGCCTTTCTGTGTCTCCCAGTACATATCATTTTTCCTATGTTAGTACAAAGAGCCAAAAAGGTGTGAGCATACATTTTTATGAAAATCATTGCGGCCCACAGGTTTTGCTGGCCTAATCAACTTCTGTTGTTGAATGGTTGCCTCGTGTCTGACTTTTTCAA